AAGGAATTTGCAACTCGTAGAACACGGTCCAGGAAGCTTGCGCAGCGCTAATCAGGGGGTAGTCCCCGCGAGAGGAGGCGGGCAGAGAATGCGAGGAATTGGCGAGAACGAAACTCGAAGCGTTCCCGCGGTAACGAGCTCTCGAGCTCGATGGAAGAAGAGAGTAGATCGGGCGGCGTCGATACGCCGGAAGCGCGTTTCGGTTGGCAAAATGGTGGAAAGAGCGGTATGGTGAGAAGGGTGTGTGTGTGTTGGAAGGTGAAAACGCCGGTGAAAATTGCTCGGTTCTCGAAACGACGCGACTCGAAGCGGGGAGGACGTGTTCGGTCGATGCGGCTAGACACCCACCCTTTCAGCCGCCACGAGGGCGAGTCAAGGTCAAGCAAGGTCGAACCTCTTTCTCTCTCAGAGCGGCGGGAACACCTCTCTGGAGAGAGAGAGACTCGATTTCTCGCTAACGAGCCGATACGGCCGGCCACGCGCAATTAAGATTCCCAAGGAACGCAGAAAACGATCGTGAAGATCGGCCGCCACCGCGGAATGATCGTTTCGAGACACGTAGCGACGATTAACCCCTTGGAGGTCTCGACGTGCCGTGTTTTATGGTGATTATTTTTATTTTCCTGGGGAAAGTTGTGGTGGTGCGAGTCACGTTGGATGAAGTCCCGAGGAAGGAAAATTGAAGAGAGGTGAATTATGTTCGGGGTGGTGTTTCATTTAAGTTGCTCTCGTGAACGTTATCAGGCGATTTTTTAACGTGTTAACTGGGGTTACTTTTCGAGGGAAAATTCTAGTTTCTTTTAAGTATGTGTTTGAAACCTTTGGTCTCGAGCTTGGAGTCGGAGAATCCTCCAGGAAGTTTCGTCTCTTTCTTCTTGCAAATACGAATTTCACGTATTTCATTTTTAGCACAGAAACTGGGGTTACTTTTCAAGGGAAAATTCAATTTTTTTTAAATACGCGTTTAAACATTTCAATCACCTGGATTTAGAGTTAGAGTCGGAGAACCTTTCCATCGTTAGATATGGAGAGGTTCGTCCCTTTCTTGCAAATACGAATTTCGCGTATCTTATTTTTAACACAGAAACTGGGGTAACTTTTCAAGGGAAAATTCAATTTTTTTCAACTATGCGTTTAACTCTTTTAATCTCAAGAGCAGATTTGGGATGATTCGATTCAGAGTCGGAGAACCTTCGAAGAAGCTTCACCAATTTTATTTTTAACCCAAACGCAGTAATTCCTACAAAAACGAGAATTTCTCGATAAAAGGGCCATCATCTTCTAAGCACTTGTGAATCCAGCGACAAACTGTCTCGTCATCGCCTATCTTGTAATTAACCCTTTCGCGACTAGCGCCGGTTATATCCGGCACCCACTAAGCGCGTCGCATTGGCTCGCGCCTCAACAACTCAAAGTAAAGATTTACTTTAAAATACAGAACAAGGCCTCAGCGACATTCCCTTTATCCGCTACACCCTTAAGTCCTCTGTTGTTCCAACGATATCCTCTAAGATTTGAAAAAACACGAGACACTCTTAATGCGTATGGTGTGCACTAGTGGCACGACGACCTGTTCGTTTAGTGGCGAATTGATGGCTAGTTTCGCCGTCGCGAAAGGGTTAAAACGTACCTAATACTTGACAGATATGCATAGTCGACGAAAGAAACAAGGACTCGAAACCTCGAGTCGAAAAAAGAAGCCCAATATAATCACGCATCGACTCGCACCTTCCCTATTTCTTCCGCCAGCTATGCACCCTCTCCGGTTTCTTCTTCCTCCGATCGCGTGAAACTTTATCAAGATTTCCCTCCGGTTTCCTCCTTTTTTCTTCCTCGCCTCGATAAAATGTTCATTCGTAAGTGGCCGAGAGGAGGAGGAGTATTCGTAACAGGGAAACTGGAGATGGGAGGGTATTTTCGCGACGCGACGAGTGAATCGTGGAAAGGAAAGGATCGTTGCCGCCGCCGACGTAAAGTAGTAGGTTCGAGGGACGAAAATTGTCAGCGTATTCGTGGCGAATCAATATTATTACGGCCGGCGAACGAACGTCGACGACAGAGGCGAAAGAGAAAACAAGCGTGCCGCAGGTAACAAGCTATTTATTTGCTGTTTCGATTGCTCGCGAAAAACCGTGGACGAGTGTTGTGTGCAGGAATAATTTAACGCTCCTGCGTTAGTTATAGCAGTGGAGAAACGTCGATCGGAAATGCACCCTCCGCTTCAGCTCGAAGGGTTAACGGAGGTCAAACGGGATTCTTAATCTCCCTTCTCTCTTCTCGATACAATCTTCTTCCCTTTGACTTCCGTTTCATTCTCCATCCAAAGAAATCTTCCCTCTGTCAATTTTTATCGCAGTTCTTCTTATTCTCAAATTGCCCCGATAAAAATCACTCTGTCGTAATTGAATTCTTAGAAAAAGTTAGAGATTAATTTCCCTCGACGCTAACACCGTCGTCTCAAACCGAGCTCGTCGTTGAAACTCGTTAGAGATTTCCTCCGCGAGACGCGTTCCCTCGCCTCTCACGACCAAGTAGATCCAGTAAAAGTAAATGAACGCGAGCTTTCTCCCGTGGTTTGCAGGTCGGTAAAAGCTCGGTCTATCCGATAGAAACGAAAACATGGAAAAATGCGCAGCCTTTAAGAAGATTACGAAAATGATAGCTGCGTAGCGACGACTTGTAAGAAAATTACAAGCACACTCCACCGTCTCTTCTCTCGTGACTTGTTTCATTATTCCCTTCTACCATCTCTACGCCTTCTTCGTCTTCCCTTTTGCCACCTTATGTTTTACTTCCTCGAGTTACAACGACGAGCCTCTGGTGCTGCATGCTTCTTGGAGCATTCCGAAAGCGTGTGTTCTCTTCCAGAGGAGAACCTGATGGTTTGCCTCGGCTCTCCCCATTTGCTAGTGGCTAAATACAGACGCCGGGTTCGATCTACGCGATCGTAACCACAGATTCAATTCACGGATAGGTTCGTGACGATGTAGTACGTAGATGCTTATCGGGGATCGCCTCTCGATCATCGACTTCCTCGAGAAACTCACCGCGCGTCCGGTCGAATTTCTGCCACGCTTCCGGTTCTTCTGGCTTTCTCGTGGCACATTTACCATTTTATTGCGCTCGAATATTGTAACATGTCGAACTGTCTCCTTTACAGGCTTGTCACTTCGTGTTTGCCGCCCTTGTTCGTTACACCTGCACCTATTCGCACGGGAAACTTATCGTACGTCTTATCAGATCTTTGCCAGGTTCGTAAGAAAAACTTCGCATCGTACGTGAAATTTCCAACGAATAATCCAAGGTGTTTTGTATTCCGAAAAATTTTCAAGATACTCCTCGTGAGTTTCTTCGTAAATAAAAGACGAGGTGTTTCAAAAAACGAAGGCAATTAACGCGATATTTACAAATTTTGTAGAAACGTGCACTTTTGCAAAGTAAAATAAAGTAAATCTTGTAAAACAGAAAATTTTATATAGTGCTTGTCACAGGCACAGCGACGATTTTTAACGATGTAAACATTCCACTTGCTGTTCAAGAGATACAATATTTTCTTCTAACATAGAAACGCATTTAGGCGGGCCCGGCGGTTAAAGTGTTAAGACGGTTCCCCGATAAGCTATTCTACATCTTCTCAAATGTTTGCTAGATTCGTAAGAAAAAATTCACGTCGTACGTGAAACTTGGAAGCAACAGTCGAAGTATTTCATATTTTAAAAAATTCCAAAGATACTCCTCGCGAAAGAGTTTCGTCCCCCCGCGGTTGAATCGTTCGATTTCTCCAGCGTGGACGTCGATACTCTAAAATGCGAGGGATACCCAAAGCGAGATCCATTGATCGTTCCCGATTTCGTCATCGAAGATTTCTCACGAGACACCCAGACTCGTCTGGGCCTCGTCCGATTGCGCAACCGAGTGTGCCGATCCACCAAACGAGCAACCGTGTGGGCGCCGAAAAGTAAACGTGGTAAAAAGTGGTCGACACACTTCTTTCTGGTCGCGTGTGGTACTTGGATTGTCGATAATGGCCGCTGGTTACGAAGTCGACTTTGAAAGAAGAAGAAGAAGAAGAGAAGGAGGAGGAGGAGGAGGATCGAGAGCGAAGAAAGCGCGACTCGACGAGTCGACGACAGCATCCACGTCGATTTTCCACGGCGATTTTTCCCCCCTTCTCGACGAGAAATTGCTTAATGAAGCCGCGAGGTTGGCACTGCCTGAAAGGAAGGTAGAAACGTTGCAGTGGGTCAAGGAGAGACACCGGCTTTCACTTCCTCTCCGCAGCGCCGCGCTATACCCCTCGAGAACACCTCCCATGCCACTCTTTTTTTTTTCCTCTCTATCTCTCTCTCTTTTTCTCCTCGTGCTTCCTCAGCCTTTTGTGCTACCATTAGGAAGAGGTACCTACCAAGTATCTAACGGTATGGTACCTGGTACCTGCGCTATTTGTTCTCAGATCTTTAATTAACACGTCGCTGTCGCTGGAGAATCGCGTGGATCCTCCGTGTGCTGCCGATTTGTAGCTCTCTGGATTATTCGGGATTTTAGTCGATTTTTCAGTAGCGATCGAGAGGCACACTGTCTACAGCAGATCATTCTCGAGTCAGCAAAGTGTTTGCAAAGGAGAATATTTGTTAATATCTTACTCTTCGTTAGGGTTGCTTTCGACTCTCATTTTAGTCGTCAATCGTATATCGATCACGAAGAATAGTGATCGATAGACACACTGTCTACAGCAAATCATTCTCGAGTCAGCAAAGTGTTTGCAAAGGAGAAGATTCTTTAGTATCTTAGTCTGTTTCTTAGGGCTGCTTTTGACTCAGAAATTTCCCGATTTCAGTCGTCGATCAATTTTTGATAGAGCAACAGTGACCGATAGACACTGTCCGTAGAAAATCACCGAAGTGTTTGGAAAGGAGAAAATTTGTCAGAATGTTAGTCTATTCGTTACGGTTACGGTTGCATCGAGCTAACGTCTTTCGTACAATTTTGCGCTGTTCCAGTTGATACCAGGGAGGTGCAGCAGCCGCACGATGCGAACGAGAAGGAGCAACTTGGCCTGGCGAGCGTTAAAGCGGAGCCAGGATCGACCGGTACGACGACGACCACCACGGGGACTCGGCTCTTGCACGGTATTCTCTCGCAGCATCCCCAGCAGCACGGTTTAGGGGTGCAAAACGGATACGGCCGCCACTTGGCTGGCCATACTCAGATGGGCCAACCGCCCTATACCACTGCCACAATCGCCACCACCAGTACACCAGGTATACTACATCGGTGTAGTTCTGTTCGTGTAACGAATAAAATTGAGCTGTTAACTCGTCGTTGGTTCACTGGTCCTTAGAGCACTGTAGCTTATTTATCGATAGATTGTTCTTTTTTAATTCACACTTGCAAGGTTTGTAATTCTGAATTAGAAAGAGCTCGTTTCTCTTTGAGAAGTGAACCTAGTTGGCCCTCTGTGAGAAGAATTAATAATTACTATAAAAAAGTATAGATAAATGATGCGTAATATGTAATTTTCAAGTCACACGCCGTGTAACAGAGGGCTAACGTAACAGGAATACTTAACACGTTCTCGTATAATTTTGATCACCTTTTACACGATACGACACATGCCTGCGTGTAATTCGTATTAAATACGCGAACTCTGTGCGTTTAACACGGCGCATTAGATCCAAGTACCAACGATCTATCATGAGAATTGACGCGTGACACATATGCGACACCATTTACAGCCGAGCGTGTTAAAAACAGTTGGTCAAACGAGAAGCATCTCGATGAAACGAACAAAATGAAATTTTCTTGGTTGAAAGATCAGATTTGTTTTTTCACCGCCGAGATATTTCACCCGGCGAAAAATGCTCTCTCTGTGCAACACGTTGCACGCTTTCGTCGCCGCGACGAAATCTTGCACTCGCGATTACAATAGAAAACGCGGAGAAAGCAATGGAAAGGATTTGCTCGTTCATGCTGTGGAGCAAGTGAAATCAATTGGAGCGGTTCTAGAAAGATGGCAGAATCACGCGTGAATGTGCGCGTGTGCAAGGTCGTAAAGTGTAAGATATATTTTCAAGAGTTTTCCTGCACAAGCGCGATCTCCCCGCTCGTGAGAAAAATTTCACGCCGGTGCCATGTGAAATTATTACGAAACGTAGCCGAACTGTCCAGATCGATTTTCCATTGGAGCAAGCCTCGGCTCCGGCCCAATAATAATATTTGCAAAGCAATATCGACGGACCAGGCTGGTAAACAGCCCGACAGGAAATCACTTCCGGCGTGGCCGCGCTGGTAAACGTTTGACTTTCCTCTCGCCACGCTTTTCATGGGCACGCTGTGCAAAGCGCGCTCCCATTGGCTCTACTCGAGCCACCAGTTTCCCCGCAGTCGGCTGACATTAATCGTTAGAGACGACGAGGTGGTAATAAAAAGGCGAAAATTCCTGTTTAACTGTCGCGTAGACCGGCAGTATCGATTTCTCGGCCTCCCGTCCTACAACCAGGAGAGATTTCGCCTGGGGGTCGCCTCTAGACCCCCCCTTGGAAATCCCTTCTTTTTTAATATTCCACGGCGATAACGACGGGTTTCGCAAAACTTCTCTCTCCGCCCAGCTTCCTCGAATTTCCCAATTTTCCACCTTTCCCTCTGTCTCTCCCGTAATTTCCCGTTTTCTCTGCATTCTTGCACAACCCCAGATAGCAAATTTCCAAATCTTCCACGCCCCTGATTTTTTGAATCTCCAAATTTTCAATTATTTCTTACATCTTTCACCGTGCACCGTTTTTCCTCGTTCCTCGACGACACCGGGTGGTTGCATTTCGAAACTTTTCAACTTCCAATTTACCGCCTGCGAAAGAGGCGAAGAAAAAAAAAGGAAAGGAGAGGGGAAACTGGAGACTGTGCGTAACGGCATGGCACGGAGCGCAAATTACCGCACACTGCACGTGATTCGGCGCTCTGCAAAAGAGTATCGTTACGCAACCCGAGGCACGAGAGATTCGCGATCCGGTTCACGAGTATCTCGCCGGACCGGGTGGGTCGATTACCGAAATAATCGGTGCTCGCTAGAAAGCACTTCACTTCTTACAACCTCCACACGCACGCACGAGTATCGTACACCGGCTCTTACGTTGTCCTTTACAAAAAACTCGATACAGTTCGTGTTCTGCATAACGCGGTAGAAGGTGAAGTTGGATGGAGTTGGCGGTGGTGGCGTCGTATGTAACGTAGAGACTCTTGACGCCTGTTGTGTGTGCAGCAGAGAAGACAGGAGGACCTTTTAGGACTGGTTTCAAACACTCTATACCATCTTCGTCTGCAGAGGCGAAGAAGGAGAGAAAGAGACCGTGGGAAGCACGAGCGATATGCATACCCAATGACCGGATGACCTTCGCCCGTTGCATAAAGATGCCTTTAATTGACGGCGCACGCGAAAACACGTTCGATAAAGCGACCGATGCTCGTAGCCGTTTGCTCTCTGGACCACCTCGGAGCCTTTAATTCCCTTCGAGAGGGGCACAAAGAGCAGAGAAACCGAGCTGAAGCGTGCAGCATGCTTCTTCGAGGCTTTTATCCGCTTCTTCTTCAATTTTTACATTTCACGAATAAGCGTGTCGATTTGTACCGGCGTTGAAATCTCCGTGGAACCGTCGTGGCGTCAAGATCTCTACGTTAAATCAGACGAGTGTTCTGTAGTTCAAAATTAATATGATCAATTATCGATCAAAATTGAAATATCACGCGACAATCCTCGGTCAGTCTTCGAGATTGAAGTCCTGGAGGAGACGAACGTGAAGGAAAATGGCGAGACTAAGGGTGAACGATTATCCGAAGGCTGCTCGTAGCGGAGAGAAAAGCGTATAAAATGTTGCAGAGTAGGCGGGGTTTTTTTTTTTCGAGATCGTCGGAATACGCAATTATCAAAAGGAAAGGATCTCGAGAAGATTGTTTTTCTGTTGCATGGGGATCACAGGAAGCGGATCACTGCCAGCGAGCCCCGCGGACAGCGGAGTCAGCGACGTCGAGTCCAGCACGTCCTCGGGCGGTAACGAGGACGCGAATCTCTTACTAAAAGCCAGGCTCAACCCTAACTCGTCCCTCCAGCCGAGCCTGGCGTCCCATCACTCTCATCTGTCGTCAGGTAAGCCAGCTATTCCACCTCCAATTAGTCTAAACTGCATTTTTTTAAACCTTCAACCACTCCACGGACGCACACTCCGCAGCTAAACATAATGGCCATTAGTACAAACGTGATACTTTTCACCAGTATACATACATAACTAGGCCACTTTTTTTCACGGAGAGACGCGTCTCCGTAATAACGTAAACTATTTCATTTACGCGAGTTAGTAACACAGGGAGAGATAAAAGTTCGTCTCTCTCTCTCTCTATTGAAGGATTAATCAATTCAGACGAGCGCTCTAGACTCCACGCAGACGGGGAGCATCATAATTCACGAGATCGCCCCAATTTCATGCTCTGTCCATTCCCAATGGCTTCGAATCGTTCCCCGTGGATCGTTAATTACCCTTTAACCCGATAGAAGTCTCTTAGCAAGATTGAAACTAGCGTTAGAAAACTTGGATTCTCGCTGAGAGGAGGAGAAACAATATGTAGATGTTTCGTCGAGAGATAATTGGTCTACGATGAAAGAGACATTTTTTCTGGATGAACCCCTTAACGCTCACAACTTGATATCCCTAAAACGATCAGTTTTCTTATTAGAAGTAAGTTTGCCGTTCATTTCCAACGCTGTGACTTCAATTTTTTTCTGCAGAATATAAATGACAGCGCAATGTGGAAAGTGACCAAATGTAATTGAACAAAATTACACTTTTTCCAGGATTAACCCTTTCGCTGCTTTCAGCGCCTATAGGCATTTTCAAAATTTGGAAGAGTACAGTGTTTTCAGCACCGTTTGGCGCACTCTCGCCGTAATTCAGCCCTTCGTTTTGCTCTGTCCACACTTCTGCCTTAATTCGAGAAAACAATTTTCGCAACGATGCGGCCGAAGCGAAAGATTTCGCGGCCGCGATTAACTGTGCAAGACACGAGCACAAACGTTAAAGGGTTAATCTTTATCGGTATCCAGATATTCGCGTATCTGAATACCTAGTTAGGTGCCCGCTCAAGGGTTGATAAAAGAGAAACGGGCGGTTTCTTATTAAACATCTTTATTGGAACTGTCCGACAGCAGCTCTCGGCAGGTCAGCCTGTCACAGTCCTGGCGTTTATCCGTCGACGGCGGGCTTCCTACCGCCCTCCTATCATCCTCATCAGCATCATCCCTCCCAGTACCATCCGCACAGAGGGAGCTCGCCCCACCATCAACACGGGAACCACGCGATGGGCCCGACAATGGGACCGCCCCACCATCATCACCACCATCAAACGCAGAGTCTACAGCACTTGCATTATCGTCAGCCACCTACACGTAAGTCGACATCTTTTATCTTTTTTTTCCTCTCTATTTCTTTGTTCTCTTCTTTCTTATTCGTCGCTTCATCGCTGGACGACGACCTTGCGTCCTCGAGAGACGACACGTGGTTGTGTAATGGTGCGTTGT